AGGAGGGACAAGGGATGGAGGGACAGGACACAGGGAATGGCTCCCAATGCCAGAGGGCAGGGATGGGTGGGATGTTGGGAATTGGGAATTCCTGGCTGGGATGGAATTCCCTGGATCCCTGGGAGTGTCCAAGGCCAGGCTGGACAGGGCTTGAAGCAACCTGAGTTCTGCACAGAACTGGATAAATTTGAATGTCCCTTCCAACCCAAACAAGTGTGGGATTCTCCAAAACCTGTTGGTGAAAGGGACAAGAAAGCACAAAAGCAAATTGTGAATTCCATCTGCAGGGAAAGGCCTGAACATTAGTGAGGAAGGAAGGATTGAACAATTAAAGGCAGTGGATTGCTGGTTAAATTCCATCTATTTAATGGCAGGGTTTCCTATGGAGGAAAATAGCAATGGTATCATATAATTAAAGATAATGCTCGAGCTCTGAGTGGGTGAGGCAGGGTCAGGAAGGTTTGGGAGTATTGGACTACACAGGAATGTGGATTCCATCCACAGAGCCCCTGCTTTTAAAAATAGATCAAATGGAACAGCAGCAGTGGCTGCAATACCTGCACAGCTGTGAGCACTTTAGTGGGGGAAGAAAAAAAAAAAAAAAAAAAGAGTACAAAATACAAGTTAAGATGTTGAGAATGAGAACTAAATGTTTTCTTGGATTTCACTGGAGCATCCTGAGGTTTATCCACATGTACATATTAAAACTTTCAGGAAATAACCAGTACAACATGAACCTAACAGAGAAAACTACTTTCCCTGCCCTAGTTTTTCACATAGCAAAAAGGTTTTTTTGGAACCCAAACACAGACTTTGATAATTATTCCCCCAAAACATTTGGTTTTCCAAATGGTGTAGCTTCCCATTTTAGAACAAATAAAAACATATGTAAAGGTCTATCCTGGAAGGGAAGAGTGACAACAAAACAAACCCAACCCCTCAATAAGGCAGAGGTATAAATAACCTCTCTCAGCTCTGTCTGCCTTTTAAATGGAAAAATCTTCCTTCTGAGGGTCAAAAAAATCCCCAAACTAAGGGAAAATGAAAAGGAAAGAGATCTGCCTTCATTTTTTTTCCCTTCATTTTCAAAGACTCCATAAATGAGACACTTTAATTTGTGTAGGCTAACAAGGCACTTGCAAGAATTCTCTCTTGATACTGCTTGAAAATAGAGATTACATATATGGATATATTATAAATGTATTAGAGAGATATGTATTAGAAAGATTTGCAGAATGAGCCCTTTCCCAACACATCCTGATTTGACTAAAAGAAGAAAATAAATTACAAATACTGAACAAACTTTGTATTTAAATGAGTTTTAACTGTGCTGCATCAGAGCATCACCTGGGCCTCAGCATTATAGGAACAGTGGGGGTTGTATTCCTCAAATTCCCACCTCCTAAGAGGCATCTAAAGTTCAAATTTGAGAATTAAGGAGCTTATCCATGAATTTATCCATGCCTTTCTTCAAGAGTATTTTACAGGCTTCACTTTGAAAAGGCTCAGCTCGAGTTGGTGCCTCCAGAAGTTGAAAACTGAAGCTGCAGTTTTCATTTTGGACCTCTCTTTGCTAAAGCAAAGAAAAGCAAATATGTAAATTCCCAGTGAATTCAAGTGCCCCATTAGGAGCTCAATTATATTCTGAAATGATGTCTTAATTGGTTTGCTCATAGATGAGCTGTACTGCTAACCAAAAATCTACTGCCATAATCAGCACTAAATTTCAGATATTGCCACACATTAAATTAACAGCAGATAATGAGTGGGAAAATTAGCTCTATTTCCATAATAGAAAAAAAAAAAAAAAGAAAAAAAAAGTTCGTATTACCTATGGTGTTATACAGAGTTCCTTTCGAAATGGGAAAAAAATAATCCATAAACAAAACTCTCCTGAATATCCTCCCATTTATTTGGATCATTTATTGATAATAAATAACACAAGCAGAGGAAATAAATGGTGCAGGACACATCAGATTCGTGCTTTCAATATTTAATTTAAAGGAATCATACTCCTAAAATCCTACAGAAATTTTCCAGAGATTTATCACTGTTTTACCCTTTTTTTCACCCCATTTTTGTCTTTTTGAGCATAAGCCACCTCCTCAGTTACTCTTTAAATTTTTAGTACCATAAAAATACTGTAACTGATCTGCAGGTCAAAACACTCATGAGAAAAGAAGAATAAAGAAAAACATTAAGTGCAGGGGGAAAAAAAAGAAGAGAAGCTAAGGATATTCCTGTAACTAAAAGGAGGAAAAGAAATTGAACTCTTTCCATGGATATTTATTATTTTTCACTTCAGAATAAATAAACATTAAAAAAGAGGTGAAAAGTTGGCAGAGTGGTCAGGCTCCCAAAACTTCATCTGCTGCTCAATTTTGGAGGTCAAAAAAACCGAATTTATTACTTGGAGACAAATGCATGATGTGGATTATTGGAGTTACCTTTGCTGTCTGAAGGAAATTTCAGAGATCTTGTCTGTAAATGATAAAATCTTCAACAGTGCTGCCTCCAGCGACCACCATCGTCAACAAGGATCTGCAGGACACCACCAGAGCAGAAAATCAGCCAGGAGAACCAAATACTGATTGATTTATTTATTAAAATGACACAATTTCATGAAATACGTGCATTTAGGAGCTGCTGTTAAAAATAAACAGTTACTACATGGGAAGGGATTGCTTGGCTAGAGGAATATGATAATTATTCTGCATTAGTATATTTAAAAATACACCTGACTCGGGGAATTCACTGTTATAGCAAAATAACAACAGCAAGGATCCCGTGAGTTAAAATTTCAATTAAATAAAATGACAAATTAGTATTGAAATGTGACTTATTTTAAGCACTAATAGATTATGAAAAGTTAAACCACCTCCCTAGACTGAAATTAAAGGCAACTTGAAGACAAGGTCACTAGAAATTGCAGTTATGCTTTGAAAAAAATAAAATTATTCAACAATGTAAGCCCAGAGCATAATTTGTTAGTGCTGCTTTCATATCTCAGCACTGTAGCTATGATAAGATAAATATAAAAAAAAATTAAATCACCAGAAAACTCAACAGGCCCAGAAGTTTTTGTCTTGTAAACAGTTTTTCTTTTTTACTAAGTCAATTCCACTTGGTTTAGACTTTCTAAAAAAAGAGAGCATGGAGGAATCCAAGTCTAAGCAAAGGAAAACTCCCCTGACTTCCATCACCTGAGAAAAAAAACCACCACCTTTCAATCCAACTTCTCCCATCAACCAGCCAGTCATGGAATCCCTACATGGATACTCTGCCCTGTCTAGAGCATCCAAAAATGCAAAGTCCTCGTAGAGGAAAGAATTCCCAGCAGTCTCTGAAATAAAACTGCCCATGATTATTCTCCTTTTCTTTTTCATGCAAACCTGAAAAAGCAATTGTGTGTCCCTGCAGTCGTGCCCAGCTGAGAATGGATGCAGCAGTGTGGGCAAAACACTGCAGGCACAAAATGAGCCAGGCAAGTCCTAAAATTCTGCTGTGCAGGCCCTGGAGGGGATGCTGCCCTGGCAGATTGGTGGGGAATTTCCAGATATGGGCTTGAGGGGTAGGAGAAGAATGGAAAAAAAAAAAAGTTCTTTTCATAATTGAAGGCTCAAGGAAGACCTGGGAGTGCCAGAAGTTTCTGTGAAGCGAGAGGTGAAAAAGATCTGGTGATGAGCTCAGCATCACTGAAAACCCAATCCAAGGAATGTTGGACACTGAGGTCCAAGGAATGCCTGGAGGTGGCACTCAGGGCTCTGGTGACAAAGTGGGGACGGTCACAGCTTGGACTCCATCACCTTGGAGGGCTTTTCCAACCCCAAAACCACCAAACCAAACCAATCAGCTCTAAATCCACACTTTGTGCTGCCAAACCCTACAGCCCCTCAGAATCAGGATAGTTAAGGTTGGAAAAAGCCCTTGAGATCACCAAGTGTAACCAGCACCATTTTTTGACACCTCTGTTGGCTTTGGTGTCCTCTACTTGGTCTCTAACCAAAGCCTAAGCCTAACCCTGAGCCTAAACCAACAAAGTCCAAGGAATAAACTGGTGCAGAATTCAAGGCAGGATCCAACAAATGATTTCTTTAATGAGTTCAGCACAGAAGTTTGGACCAGTGGCTCTGAAAAGGAAAGCTCACGTGCTGAAAACTGGGAAATGGATTGAGAATTGGAGTGAAAAATGGCATTTTAAAGGGAGAACACATAATATGGAGCAGCTCTGGGATGATAATGTAGTATTTCATCTGCCAATTTAAACAGATCTTGTTTGGAGTCTCCAAAGTGGTTCTGAGTCTTCCCTTAAAGTGACTTTGTTCACATAATTTGGTGTTGAGGTTTTCTATCAACTGTGCCTCAAACTTCCCATTCAGTTCTTAATCTCCCCAGATTTTTTTCAGTGCCATGAAAAGATCTGTATTTTTTTTTCCTGCCTGACAAATAAATCATTCTCACGTTGCTTTTTGTGTTAATAGATGATATTTTCTATTTTCTTTGTGAACTGCACAGCCACAATCCAGATATTTAAACTCTGCTCCCACTGCAGATGTTATTTCTGATCGGATTTAATCATCACTCTCAAACAGAACAACTGCAATAATTGTAAGGGTATCATTAATTTTGTTCTCAAAACCTCTAAGCCTTCTCCAAGGGCTTGGAGCATCACAGCACTGGGAAGAAATTTCTTCTGTGTTTAACCACATCTTTCAAGGGAATCTGCTGAATTTCTTGGGACCTGTTAATTTTGCTGAATGGCACCCGAGTGTTTCATTTTTTTCTTTGTTTGATTTTATGATCATCACCCTAAGACCAGAATGAGTCACTGTGACCTCTCCTCCAATTAATGGGAATTTATTGATGGAATGAAATGATTTCTGTCATTAACAGCATTGATTCCTCTAAGACATTTGATACCCAAATAAAGACAGAGTTGCACAGAATTCCAGGATGGTTTGGGCTGGAAGGGACCCTAAAGCTCCTCCAGTGTCACCCCCTGCCATGGGCAGGGACACCTCCCACTGTCCCAGGGTGCTCCAAGCCCCATCCAGGAGGTCCCTATGGATCCTGACCACCCTTTCCTGGTCACCACAGCCCAGGAGTGCCTGGAATTCCTTTGTGCTGCTCTTCAGGTACCCCCCGTTCTTCTTTTTAAAATGTTTCTCTTTTCTTTATATTCTCCAGCACCTTATTTTGAATGTTGTTCCTCTAAATATCCCAGAGTATGAAGAGTTGGTTCTACAGGATTCTGCATCCTAGTCTGGTGCCAACCCACCAAACATATGTCTCTGCTCAAATGGAAGAATCTGTTTTGATTTCTCTCTCTTTTTTTTTTTTTTTTTTTTAAATTTTCTTCCTGGACTGGGGACAAAACATTTCTTTAGATACGACTCAACATTTCGTATCTTCTGAGATATGAAACTTCCTATAAGTTTTTGTTAATTTATTCCCATGCAACGACTTTGAAGGAGCTGAACTGTCTGAATACATGACAAGAATTATTAAATGCTCAAAAATTCATCACTAAATCAAAATTAAGTTCAAAATTCCTGGTTGGGAGGGTGGGGACGCCCTGGAATGGATTTCCCAGAGAAACTGTGGCTGCCCCTGGATCCCTGGAAGTGTCCCAGGCCAGGCTGGACAGGACTTGGAGCAACCTGGGATAATGGAAAGTGTCCCTGCCATGGCAGGGGTGACACTGGATGGGTTTTAAAGTCCTTACCAACCCAATTCATTCCAGGATTCCATGCTAATTCTTCCATCTCATGGGTGACAAACATGCCTGAGCTTCCTAGGGATGTTTAGGAATGAAAAGAAACTCATCAGCTCAGACAGGTGCAAAATCTCACATCATTTTCTCTTAGATAAGGGAATATTTGGGATGCACCACCACAGAAACACTCCAAAGCCTCTGCAATTTCCATCAGTTGTTGCCTCTGGGAGGTGTTTTTCTTGTTTGTGAGGAAAAAAATCCTTCCAGACACATGAAAATTATTCCACAGCAAGATAAATGCACCCAGGAAACAGCAGAAATTTTTGATGCATGACACGATATCTGCACACAGAGTTAGGAAAATATTTCCTAAATTTTTTTTTTTTCTTTTTTATTTTGGTAGTGGCAAATGTAAAGGAGCAGCAGATTGGAAAAAAGCTGCATTTTCACACCTGAGGGGTGCAGGGCAGGAACAGGAATATGCAGGAATGAGCAGGGATGGATTCTCCTCTGAGCTCAGATCCCAAAGCTGCCTCTGGAGAAGAAGGAGGAGGAAAACACGAATGTTTTCCTTTTTTTTTTTTTTTTCTTCCACAATAATGCTGAAAGGGCTGCCTCAATCTTTCTTGTAAATTAATAGTTTGAAGTGAGAAATAAATAAAGCAGGTCAGATTGTTTTTGTCAGAGATGAGCGAGCAAGGACTAATGAGATCACATGACAGATGAGTCTACTCCAAGATTGTCCTAAGGAAGAATTCCATCCTGCTTTTAACTGTTATTTACCATTTTACTGGCACCAACAGAACAGGATTTTCTAATTACCATTAGAAAACAAGAAGATATTTTAAGTCAAATTAGGAGAGTCTCACAAATTTTACAAATTTAATGGTATTCTGGGGAAGGGCAGTTCTGGGGATGCTGTGCTGGATTCTGTGTCAGATACTTGTCTCTATATATTCATATTTAAGTCTAACCCACATATTCTACATATATTATAATATATGTAGAATATTATAAGACATATTTTACTTAAGTATTATATGCACATAAGTATGTAGAATAAAAAAAATGCGTTTTCTCTATGTATATAGACAACAGATATTTTATTTTTTACTACAGGCAAAATCCCAGCACTATCAAAATTTCTGAGAACCAAAATATTTCTGGAAGAAATAAATCCCCCAGCCCTCAACAAGACACAAACTCCATTAGAAAGAAATCCCATTTATCTTCCAAACACAAATATCTCCATTTTCTTCCTTTCTGGATTACTTTTAAATACTTTTTTTAGCAGCTAATCTCTCTTTAAAGCTGAACAGAGTAACAGAGCACAGAAGAGACCATGGGGGTGGGAGGGCTGGGAATGTTCAGCTGGAGAAAGGAGGGATCCAGGGAGCTCCTTCCTGTTCCTAAAGGGGCTCCAGGAGAGCTGGAGAGGGACTGGGGACAAGGGATGGAGGGACAGGACACAGGGAATGGCTCCCAGTGCCAGAGATGAGATATTGGGATGGAATCCATGGACTGAATCAACTTCCAAGAGTCTTCCTTGCTCTGAGTAGCCCAGAAATTCAGAGATGGGAAGAATCCCTCATTCATGGAAATTGAAGAGGGAAAAGTAAGCTCAGAGCCGCTCGAAGAAAATGATCATCCCCAGCAAACTAGGTCACAGGAGTGAGTAGTTTACTAAATATAAACTTTCTTTGTAGTCAGGCAACCACTGTCAGAGTAATGAGATTTACTCATATTTCACCCAAGTGCTCTCTGCATTCAGACTCATTAAAATAACCAAGTGACCACTCACACGTCACTCACCTCTCAGGTGATGCAGCAGCAAATTCAACAATATAAAAAAAGAAATTAAAAAAGGAAAAAAAGAAGGATTTTGGCCTTTTATCATTTCCAGGTATAAAAAAAACCTTTTGCATCTCCACTGCCATTCACCCAAACATTTCCTGTATCCAAAAATCCCCTCCCAAGCCTGATTCTCCTCCCAAGTCACGTGGAGGTGACAGAGCTTTGCTTCACTCCCACAAAACCGTGGTGGCACACTGAGTTTTAGTGACCTCCTCAAATCCCTGCTAGGGTGGTGACACAGTTGGAAGGGAAACACAAAAATTCCTGTCAGCTTCCAACCCTGTGAAGAGCCAGGGCTCTCCCAAACTTGTGAAACCCAGAAAAATGAATGGAAGGGTGAGAATGAGAACACTCCTTGTTGTTGGTTTTTTTTTTAATTTTTTTTTTGGGTGTTTGAGGAAGAAAAGAGAATAATATTTTTTCCAGCCATGCAAGTATCAGTGTGTTTATAACAGGATGTTCTTCCTCTGCTGTTTGGATGGTTCCAAAAATATTTCCCTCTGGTTTGTGGCAGTGGCTGTCACCCTGACAGCGTTTGCTGCCTCCAGGGCAGGCTGTGTCTGTAACAAATCTGCACAGGCAACTGATGCCACACTCCCATTTTTCTAAACTCAGAGCTAAAAACCGAAGGGGATGAATGAGACAACTGTGGATACAAAGCTTTAATTTCTGGATGGTTATTTCCTAGCTGTGCTCACGTTTAAAACCTGCAAAGATGGTGCAAGTTGGGCTAAAAGTTCTATTTTGGACACAATTGACATTTTACTATTATAAAATAATTAATGCTCCTGTGCTTTCAAACACTGGGTACCAGAAATGTTGACATGGAATCAAAACCTGAGAAGAGGACACTTCACTGCAGATAAAACAATGACATCTCTTCAGAGACTTCTTTTTAAAAAGGGAAAAAATGGTGCAGTGGTGAGCCTCAGTTGTTTGAAGAAATATTCCTCTCCTCCAAAATGAAATTAGAAACATTCAGAAGCCCAAAATGTTGTAAATTTATGAATGTATCGATGCAGCCAAAAGGAAAAAAATGCATCTCTTCAGATACATCTCTTGGTTTATTTTCTGGCTTCTTCCAAGGACAGAAAAGGCAATCAAATGCAACAGAAAAAATGTGTTAATTGGCTGATCTTATGACAATTTCCATTCAACAGTATTTTCCTGTTATTTTCACTGAATTATAATTATTCAGCACAAAAAGCAGAGTTTTATATCATGGTTCATGCAGTTTCTGCCTGGTTTTGGGCACTGCCATGGCTGGGGCTGTCCTGGGTCTGAACTGGTCCCTCCTCTCCTGGATATTTTAATTTATTTAGCTGCTATCAATGTTTAAACAATAAATTTTGGTGTCATTTGGAAGGATTTTCAAGAAATCATAAATATCTTGTTTATTTTTAAGGAAAGAAACCTGCAAGCAAGTCTAGAAAAGTATTTCTTTGAAATCTGAGAGTAATAATTAACAGATTTCAGGGGTCTTTTCTGCATTTTAATTTCAATATTCAGCTAAGAACCGTGTCTAATTTCCCAGACCAAGAAATGTTTTTTGGTCTGTATTTTAACACCTACAGTTTTACAAAGGATTTCTCTTTTGATGGAACTCTTGGAAACAAATTAATTCATAAGTGCCTCCAAATCCCCCAAGATTTAACAAAGGAATACTTCTTTATATAGCAGGGCATGTTCAGCATCAAACTGAAATCTAGGAAAAGACTTTATGTAAAATTAAAATGTTTTTAATCCATGTATCCCACTTTTCCAGGCCTACATTCACACAGACCTATCACTCCACCTGCTTTCCCTTCATCCTCATTCCATAAGGAACATCCACTGAATATTTAGGTTTAAAGTATGGGTCACATTTCATATTTCTTTTTTTTCCCTTCTCCATTAACATAAGATTTATAGCACTGCCATAATTACAATGCTTTTAAAACAATCCCGTACACAAGTATCAAATTCTGATTGATTGCAATAAGGAATATAATCTTCTAAAACTTCATTTCTTTCTTTGGCCAAACTTAGATCAGCTGCTCTTTAGCTGATGATTTAGGAGCATCCACAAATGACATCAGGAGCACTTTAGTTACGCCAATCTAATTTAATAAAAAATACCTTGAGAGATGATTGTGTTCCTAACAGAAAGGAATTTATCTCCCTTTTCAGCTGCTTGTGCAGCTCATACAGATCAGCCCCTGCAAATCACTCCTGGAAACTTCAGAACACTCCTTACATGTAATAATGGACTTTTTCTTAATAGCAAATTTATTTGAAGCCGTGCCCGTATTCCTTCCTTGTGAAATAGAAGATAAAATCCTATTTCCTCCCAGCTCACTGTGCTGCCTGCTGGAAAAGCAGAGGGTTTAGGCACATTAAAGAAAAAGTCTTAATAGGTTTTTGCCCCTCTTTATTTTTTTATTAAAATA